TTGCTGCTGCTGAAACGCTTGAGAAGCTTTGAGTGGAATCATTTTGTTTGGAGCATTCCTTGTCTGCATCCCACAAAGCTGGATGCAGCTGCTGCTCTGACTCAAGCTGCATCAGGCTCAGAGGAAGAGGAAAATAATACAATAAGTAGTGCAGACTTCTTCCATGTGGTATGGTGGCTCAGGTGTGAGATCCTGATACATCATTCTTGTTGAAGTTGTCTCACTTTTCTTATTTCCAAGGTGTGTGATGATGAAAAACCTCAGTCTTGACCATTTTAAGGCATTAGTCAGGGTAACTCTGAAGATAAGTATTTTGATGAGATGAACCTTTTTTTGCTGATGCCTTTCTCTTCTTCTTAATTATGTATTTATGAGAAGTTATTTAAAGGTTTTGGGTGTGGAAAAAAGCCAGAGCGAGATGTGAGGAAACTGGGGGGATGATAGATGTGCAGCACAGCCACGTGCCTTGCCAAATGGCTATTGCTGTATTTGCTGGGTGTCTGGCCATGCAAAACCAGCCAGGCAGAGTTCCCATGTTGCTCTACATAAAACTGGGATGGCCCTACATTTAACCCATGCTTGGGATCTAGCTCTTCTGTTAACTCGAAATTATGGTCTTCCGCTTTTGTAAAGGCTTTACTGAAACTTGTGCTGTTCCTGCTGTTGTGTGGTATTTCTGTAGTCTTCTCTGTACCTTCCTTGTCCGAATCAGGAGTCCCTTGCCCTGCATGTAAATAGCTGTGTCCCATTCCATCCCAGCTAATCACTGAGAGTGAGTTAATTTGCATTTCTATGGCGACTTCTGGCTCTCCAGCTTGAAGTGGGTCATTGGGAGGACTCATGAATTTGCCATCTTGTTAAATCTGTTGTAGCTTTGTAGATTGGAACAAAGCTTGGGTGTGGAAATGAAAAACAAACCATGCCAGTCCTTTCTTCAGGGATAGAGCAGGAGAGTGATCCACCAAACCAACCCCCATCAGGAAACTACTGCTCCTCTTCTTAAATGATAATTTTCATCCCGCTCCCCAAAAATGCCAAAGGAGAAATGGATCATTTTGCAATCACAGGAGAGTTTTGTGACAAAACCCACACAAAGAAAATGTTTGTCTCTAATTGTTTTGCATTTCCATAATGCTTACTATGATAAAACCATCTTCTCTTTCTCCTTTATTTTTCAATCATGATTAGGCTTTAATGCTGTTAAAGCTTATAAGTGAGTTTGAGCCACTGTCTTGTTGAAGAGAAGATGGAGCTGAAATTTTCAGTGAGGCATTGGACAGGGTTTTTAATGTGTCTGTCATTATATGTTAACCTCTGAACTGAGACACGACGTCTGTTTTATGGCTGACAACAATTTAAAAGTATACATCTTGACATGGTGGATAAAGGAAGAAGGGGGAGTGGGGGGGAAAAAAAAAGAATTAATGATGTTAGCAAATATTAGTCCCTGTATTTCCATTTTGTTCCAAAAGTGGTTGTCAGGCTTTGAGGCTGCCTGGAGCAGCATTGCCAGTGACAGGCAGCTGGGATGCAATTGTCCCTTGGATCGAGCTGGGCTCTTATTGACAAATGCAGTGCACTGAGGCAGGGACGAGGATGCTCCACTGTCTGTTCCTGGAGGAGTGTGGTTTTTCTCCTGGCATTCCTGGTGACATTTGAGAAGGATCGTTCTGGGCTCAGTGGAGTTCCCTGCACCAGTCCCCGAGCCCATCTGGAGTCAGGGGAGTTGAAGATGTCTCTTCAGGAGTACGTTTGCTGCATACTGAAGCCCCGATGTGCCCCTGATTTATGCTGGTTTTGGCCAGCCAGACCCGCCCACCAAAGTTAACTGTCACAGCAGCAGTGACTTTGACATCAGCCCTAATTGTACACCAGCCACAAAGGATCAGTGGGCAAGGGGAAAACATGAGAAATTTTACTGCTTAAGGCATGTCTTACACTTCTCTATCGTCTTTTCCCCTATTTCTTACATGCCACTGCCTGTGCTTTGGCATGCAGGTACAATCCTCCAGGATGTCTTCACATGCTGTCACAAATTCCTCTTTATTCCCAAATAAAGTTTTTAACTGGCATTTTAAGAGCAATGTCTTGTTCTTGTGGAGTCCACAGCAATTTTGCCTTTCCTACAGCACCTCTCTTGCATGGTCCAACTGCAGATCTACTGCTCTCATCTCCCTTGGGTTCAGGTTCCAAATTATGGAAGCCCTGGATTGTCCTGTTCCTTAACTATCAGTAGTTACCTGTGCATCTGCAGTGCTTCTGGACAGCGCTGCCAGCAGTGAAAGAAATGGAGCTGGCTTAATTGAGAACCACATAGTTAATTATCAGTGCCTTTTTAACAGAGGAGACAGGAAATTTGCTGTGTCAGTTTTTAATTTCATTGTGGTTTGCAGGGTAATGTGACTTTAAACTCACGAGTCATTATCTGCATATAGGTAGCCCTAAGAACCCTCTTTTGCTGTACAACTGTCAAGAGATTTAAGGAGGAAAAGGGCATCTGTGTGTTACTGATCCCTTCAGCCAGGATGAGCAACAAATAAAAATACCAGTTGCTGTCAGTGATGTCAGTAGCTGTGACGTGATTTGGAGGGAACTGCTGCTTCTTCCCCCTCTTTTTGTGTCACCGAGTTTGGAACATCGTGCTCAGATATTGCGTGGAAGTTTTGGCAGGCTGGGCAGCAAGGATTTTGGAAGTGGTCAGATGAGCTCATGGACAGGAAGATTGTCAAAGGCAGCTGGAAAGAAACCAGTTTGTATCTGTGCTGCAACAGACTCAACTTTTTTGGGAAGCCTGGACACATTCCCCTTTGAAAGCTCAGTGAGGATGAATGGTGGAGCCTTTTCTCTGTCTTCATGGCTAAATACTGAGAAAACAGAATATGAAGAAGGTCCAGGAAAATAAACTTGTTCTACATATCAAGGACTGTGATGGAATAAGCTTGCTTCAACGCTCATAAATTGAATATTGAATTACTTATTTCTGTTTGAAAGAGATGAGATAAAAGCTACTTGGACAAAGTAACTTGTGTATGGATTAAAAGCCAGAGAAGTTTTTGCCTGAGTGTTTTTGGGAAAGCCTTTATCACTAAGTTTCCCAATGACCTTATGTGTACTCAATCAACGTGATTAATCTTTGGTAGAAATGCATTTGTTGTGCAAAGAAGGTGAACTTAATCCTAGAAATCTTTTTTTTTTTTTTAACAATTTCTGCCTCTAGAAAGATTAAATGTATTTTTTCAAATGTTTTTTCTGACTAGGAATAAAAGCAACAACCAAGAACTAGAGTGGGAAGAGATGAAAGAATACAGATTAAAAATTTTTTGCAGTTCCTGACACTGATTGAATGGCCATCATCCCTTGGTATCAAACAGGATAGGCTAGTAGTGAGTACAGCTTCATTGTATAGGAATAACTCTTCTGTGCACTTTCAGGTGATCTGAAATTAATTTTATTTTATTAGTGGAATCTAAGTAATTGATGGACAGTAAGGTTCCCTGCTAAATAATTTTTTTAAGAGGGGCACTGCACTGTAAAGACTCTGAAGCCCTTTCCCTTGAAGAAAGGAGAACTTCATGTCACCTTCTACTCTAAATTAGAGAGAGCCTACTTGCCATGGAATAGTCACCAAAGGCAATTTCCTTTCCATGTGTTTTTATAAAGAAGCATGTCTGTGATATCTGCAAACCCAATGTTATGGCTTTGGGCTGCTACAGGAGAACTGAAAGGTGGAACTGGTTGGCTCAAGCTGGGTAGAATGTAAAAATAAATATGTTGTAGGGAACTAGTACACTGATTTAAAACAAAAGCAACCTGAGGAGCAGGAAAACAAATGTAAGGATGCATTATTAAAAATAAAAAAAATCAACATCTTTCTAGGTAGAATTCTGATGGGACAGCAATGCTTTTGGGTGTAATGGAGCTGATGAGAGGGATGGGGAACCTCTCCTATGTGGAAAGGCTGAGGGAGCTGGGATTGTTCAGCCTGGACAAGAGAAGGCTTCGATGTGATCCAATTGTGGCCTTCCAGTATCTGAAGAGAATCTACAAGAAAGAAGCAGAAAGATTATTTACAATAGCTGGAGTGACATGACAAGAAGGAATGACTTCAAATTGAAATAGAGTAGGTTTAGATTAGATATCAGAAAAAAATTCTCCCCTGGGAGGGTGAGGAGACCCTGGCACAGGTTGCTCAGAGAAGCTGTGGCTGCCCCTGGCCAGGGAGTGTTCCACACCAGGTGGCACAGGGCTTGGAGCACCCTGGTCTAGGTGTTCCTGTTCATGACAGGAGAGTGAAACTAGATGATTTTTAAGGTCCCTTCCAACCCAAATCATTCCAGGTTTCTGTGATACAGCTACAAAGAAGTTGCAAGAGGCTGGGACTTTCCTCCTGACCTTTTTTACCCTAGGTGTGACACTGCCATCACAGAAAGCCTCAGACCTGTCCACTGGCAGCAGCAAGTTGCAATTAATGGGTTGGTTTTGTAAGGAATTGCTGCTGCAAATTCCAAACGAGTTTTGGCTGCTTGTCTGAAAACCAAAATACTTAATGCCGTGGAAGAGTTGAGGTTTCTGGTTCCCTGCACCCCCTAATTGGGTCAGGCTTTCAGACAGCAGGCACTTACCCCTGCTGAAAGTCTGGCATCAATGAAAAGTCAGGCAATTGAAGATCCCAGGCTGCAGGAAGGTTTTTTTGAAAAGGTAGGCCTGGGGCTCCATATCGATCAATCATTATTCTAATTGTTCATTTCTATTATGGTGGGAATCATTCAGAATCCTAGAGTTCCTGGGAGTAAATCATTTGGAAATGCTGCCCATTATAAAATTTAATTTTAAATCTATATTAAATAGATTTATAAAGGCAAGTTTTGCAATCTAGTAACAGAATATTATGCTGCCTCACAGAGGCTCAGCTTTTGGGTCCTGAGGGGCCAGGGCTGGGAATGAGAGTTGGGAATATGGTAGGAGCTGGGATGCTGGACCAATCTTTCTTTTTCTTTCAGACAACAGAGAAGAGGGGAAAGGAAAGCAAAACTGTATTTGGAGGCCCAGTCATCAGCTCATTATATCAAGAAGAAGAAATGATCAGGTGATTATCTGTGCTGGAATTCGGTTAAAACAGTGTTTTTCTAATGTCATTTTGTTAAGCTTTTTTTTGCTTTTTTTGCTTTTTTTTTTTTTAATATTGCACAAGTGTGGTGGCAGCTACAGTAGGATAATAAATGACAGGAAAGAACTTTTCAGGTCCATAATCATTTAAATCAATATCTGCCTGTATCATTGCCAGGTAGTAACCTTTCCCTAGCACAAGATGTGGGGGAAGGGCAAGGCTTCCCATTTTTCAGTTATATGGCTTAAAAAAAAAGGTAATATTGGATATTTTTAATAGAAAGCTATTCAGGCACTACCTTTTCCAAATAGTTATTTCTTTACCAATACATTCATTAGGAACTGTTCAGTGAAGGTTTTAATGTTGGACAATGTTTGCCTTCAGGGACAGTTTGTGCCTTATATCAAATTAATTTTTTTCTGGGCTTTCCAGCTAGAAAAGCCAGCTCTGCAGTTACTGAACTAGAGTGGCTGCTACTTAAAACTGTCAAGGTGCATGTAGTAAGTGACATTAGCTACTGAATAAGGACACCTGGATGGTTTTTGTTTGGTTTATTTTTTTTTTATTGTTCCAGGCTACTAATCATGGATATAATATTAAACAGCAATATCTAAATGATTTTGTGGAGGAAACTGTCTTATATTTTTAGTTAAAATGAACAGTCAGAGAAAACTAAATTTTTGACAGTGTTTCCTGACATGCAGTCACCCATTTACATGTGTATGATCCCATTTTTTAATTAATGTCTTGCATCTTTTTACATCCAGGAAGTGTAAACACTGATTTCAGGACATGCAGTCTCCAGCTGAGAACTTACCTAAAGAGTTAAAACTCTAGCACAGCATTTCTTTGACTTGTTGTCACAACCCAAGGAACAGAAATCTTGATCAGGTGGCTCCAAACCCTTTGCAAAGAGCTCAGGTAGGAATGGAGACAGCTGTTGTAAGCAGGCAGGGTGGCAGTTGTGGTGCTTGGCAGTAATGCAGGCATTTCCCTCAGGATTGCAATCCACTTTAGAGTGGAGTACTTGGCCAGGAATGGTTTTCTTCCCCTGCTTGGAGAGCCAACACATCTTTGACTTGCCCTGGCCCTTGAGCAGAGGTGGTCAGGTGTGACCTTGGTTTAACACACTGAGGAATGGCACTTGTGCAGCTCCTTTTTTGGCCCTGCTCTAGCAGTGCAGGTCTCAGCCAACATCCTTGATCTCACAGTTTGACTTTGTGGTTTAAATCCTGTTCAAGCTCTCCTTTCAGGGGTAGAGCGCATCCCTAAAGTGCTGTCAGAGTCTTGGTTATCCCAAGTGCTGCCTATGCCCTTTCTTGGCTTTGAAATGCAGCATAATGTACAGAAAAACAGAGTTTGCTCTGGTTGACCTGACCAGCCTAAATCTTTTCGTAGGTTTGTTTTTATTTCCAAAAATACAGCTGCAAATACTTTTTTCCCAAACATACTATGAGGAACATAGGTGCTGTTTGTTTAACACAGCACAGCTGTCCTTACAAATGAGGCTGTAGGCAGGTGTAGTCTCCCACACAGCTGGAATAGGGTGATTCTGCTGAAATTTGTTGAATGAAGTGTCCTGACTGCTGGCAGAGTGGAAGCTCATGTAATCTGTCAGCACAATTTGACTCCCAGGCATCAGTGTCTTCCTTGCAAGACAGGAATGAGCAAGTGGCACCATCATCTACCCACAGAGTTTTACAGCTTTGCATTTCCTGGTTCTTTTGTCTGTTGTTCATTCTCTTCCTGGAATAGGGAATAAACATGCAAGTATAGGCACATCTCTGGTATGATAATTCCACTAATAAGAGCATAGCCTTAAACAGCAAAATTGCACTGGTACCAAACCGATCAAGCAGATAAACCAAAGAGGGAGTGGCTCTAAACATTAGATTTGGTGTCCAAGTTTGTCTAGAGCAAGTACTGGTTCACCTGAGAAGGGTGACTTTTGTGAGGCTGTGAGTGGTTACTTACAAAAACATAAGTTTAACATTCAGTAATTCTTCATAAAACAGAATGTTGCCTTAAAAAAAATTAAGGCACTTTCTGTAGAGGTAGAACATGAAATATTTTATGGGGAAAGGAAACTGATTGGCTTGAGCCAAGATAAGCTTTCACACATTGGTAGTTTTGGCTAAGTCCCCTGCTGTCAGTTCAGTGTGTGTGTGTGTGTGCTCCCTCAACACCTGCTATCTGAGAAAAGAAACTTTGATGCAGACTCTTTTATTGACTCGGTTGCATGGTGGGGTTTGTCTGAAGCTTTGCAACAAGCTTGCAAAAATGTAAATAATAGAAATCAAACCACTTTAGTTTGTTTCCCAGCTCTGTTGATGGGATAAGTATCTTCTTGTTTCAGGATCACTGAAAAGAAGCCCAGAATAAGTAAGAAAAACCCCTTATTTTGTATACTAAAAGCTAAAACTTGAGTCCTCATCAGCCCTAGCAGATTGCTGGGAGCAATTTCTCAGCAGGTATTACTCTGCCAAACACAGCCTACCATGTGCCCTTTAGGATTCTGCTGATCCAAAGGCAGGAAAAGGCTGCTGATTTATCTGGAGCCACAACCTCAGCTTGCACCAGGAGATAGACAAGAATCCAGATGCAGAGTTTTGAAGGGTCACCTAAGCAGGTTCACTTGTTTTATTCTTTACCAGAACCTTTTGAACAGTTTATCATAAATGATTAAAGCCCTTCAAGCTGTTGCTGTGTTGTTTGAGGAGCAGAGGTTTTGTTTTAAACAGAATAAACCCCTAGTTTGCCATCAGCAGTAGTTAACAAAAAAGCAGTGGTGCCATTGATTTCAAACTGAGTGTCTAAAATTATGCCTAAATAGTACTGACATTCCTTTTGTGGAATGAAATACTTGGGGGTTTAGGATCCAGATCTGTAAAGGATGGACAAAGTGAAGTTACCATACCCTGCCCTAACGTGGATTAGCAATAGGAGGAACATGGCTGGTGCCAGGGCCACTTTTTTTTTTCCTTATCACTAATTATCTCAAATGTTTCTAATTGAGAACAAGATAGAAAAATGGTCAGTCTGGCTCACAGCACATTGCACTGATTCCAAATAAATTCAAGAGCATCCACAGAAACAGGTTATACCGATCTAATTAAATCAATTTAGAAAGAGATTCGGTTAAATCAGTGCAATTTGTGTGTTCATAGATCAGCCCTCAAATCAGGAGAAGGTCTCTTGAGCTAATGAGGCGTAGCAGTTATTTACTTTGGGGTACTGGGCACCGGTCATCAATTAGGAGTCATTAATAAACCCTTGCAATAAAGAGCTCGAGTACCCCCAGTGAGTAATGGGGAGCAGTTGCAGGATGTATTAGCATAGTGCTCTGCCTCTGGGTTTCTCTGCAAATCACTTATCTCCCCTTGGGCACTGCATAAAACTCCTGCATGCTGGTGACTGATGATGGGACTCCGAGGTTCCCTTGAAAGGAAAAAATTTAGAAGTTATCAGTGATTTCAAGCTGGGTATAGTGTTGGTTTGTTTGTTTTTTTACTGCTACATAAAGCTTTTATGTCCCTTTTCTGGTCTTATTACCAGAACAAAGCAGTAGTAGTGGAGCTCTTTTGTGATCAAAGCACTATCACTGGAGTTTCACAAACCTGGGACACGACCAGTGATCTGAAGTTGACTGATGTGTTAGCAGTATAAATCTCATCTAAAACACAATCTGAGAGATACGCCAAAAATACCGTAGCCTTGGAAATCCAGCTTTATCTTTCAGTATTTCTTTTAAAGCCGAGGCAAAGAGTAGGCAGTTTATAAGTGTTTTCAGGAAACAAATACATTGATTTGGCAGCTGGAGAATGAGAAATAACGCTGCCAAATGTCCGTGTCCCTTTCCACTTCCACTGGAGGAGCCCTCCTGCGCTCTGCCACGATCTGCTTCCTCAGGGCCTTGGCATGCCAGGATGGGAATGACATCTGCCAGTCAGCACAGAGGCCTCCCTGAGCTGTGTTTTACACTTCTCCCATCCACAGGGATGTTGAAGAAGCCCTTTCCTGGTCGAAACTACCACCCTCCCCCAGACATTTGGGAGCAACCCCAATCGTGAGTGGGGAAACATTTAGGATGTGGGTGCGGAGCGGGCACCCCTGGTGTGCAGGACCTGCCTGATGCCGTGCAATCCATCAGAATTGTATTAATCCCACTAACGAAGCCGCCATCTGGTCCTGCTGCCGGGCCGGCTCGTGAGAGCCCCCATGATGGATGGCCCTGGGAATTGATTAGTTGTTGTGTGAGACAAATGAACTGTTTTGGCAGAAAATACCAGAGGTCGCTGCATGTGGTCAGGCACAAAGGCTGCTGAATTTTAAAGAGCTGCTTCCAGCATCCATTGCAAGGATGCTGTTTCAGAGCAGCGATGGCTTTTGGGATGAGCCCAGTGCTCCAGAGCAGGGCTGGGGTTTTGTTGTCTCCCTCCAGCCCTACTTTTGGGAACACCACCACTGGAAGTGAGTGGAAAGCTGCAGAGACATGTGATACCTGTATTGGGAATTACTGGCTGGTGTTTTGCGTGTGGGTGGCTGCACCACACATGTCACTCTCAAATGCTGGGCTGTGAAAGAGCTTTCCTGGTTCTGTGGAGCCCAGGCAGCCCACAGAGTGCTCAGGCAAAACACCTGCAGCTGCTCCTGGCAGCTGGGATTTTGGGGTTTTTCAGGTCAGTGTTCAGCAGACCAATGTTCAGCAGACCAATCTTTTGACTTCAAGATGATTGCCAAGTTTATTGCTTCTCCCCTTTTTACTGTCCCTGGAGCAGTGACCTTTGGGGCTTTGCTTTGTTGTGCAAAGGGCTCAGGCCTGCCTTCCCTTTGGAGAGCACATCCTTCCGTGGTGGCTCCCACTCGGCGTTTTCCCGGCCGCCTCCTCTGCGGTGGGGAATTGGATGACACGCGTCCCGCCACGTCCCAGCGGCTCTCGGAGGGATGGCACGCCAGTGTGCCGGCAAGTGGGCAACACTTCCCTCGGGACGGCCTGCCGGCTCAAAATAAACTTGAGTTATGGATTTATTCAGCTTGTAAAACCTCAGCTGGCATAAATAATTGAGAAAGCAAAGGTTTGTCTGTGGAGCGTACCTCAGGGACCTGCTCCTGCCTCCCTCCCTCCCACCACCCTTTCTTATGAAAATGATCCCAGTTGCACTGATAGATAATAACAACACCAAGCAATTAAAAGCTATGGGTGGCTGGAGAGAGGAGAAAAGGTTCAGTTAATGAGCTTTTCCTCTTCCTGTGCCCAGGAGAGCCTCCGAAGTGACGAGGCGATTAAAGCGAAGAGATAATTATAGATTATGTGAAAATGGGTCCCTTGGGGGGGCCGAGGGCCCTGACATAAACAGTGAGTGTTGCGAGCCCTCTCGGCTCCCCGCACACGTCCCGTTCCGCTCCGCCGCCGCGCCGCTCGCTCGCCAGCGCCGTGGCAAGCACACGGGCGAAGCCACCTGTTAGCGGCACCCGGGGCCACTCCACAGCAAATCCATTGGGATGTGCCTTGGACCAGCCCCAGGAAAAGGGGAAAGGATGCCCAAAAAACCTGGTCTCAGCCCTCTGCCCTGAGCTTTGCGCTGGAGGTAACCTGCGGAGGGGGAGGAAGGGGACAGGGCAAACCTGGAGAGGGTATTGTCTGCACAAGGGTAAAATAATGTGAGTTTCAGATCTCTTCTTTGACTTTTTCAGTGGCAGCCTTGGTGCTGTTTATAAAGCAAGCAGTTTTACAGCACTCCAGATAAGAAGGAAATGATCAACTGGCAGCAGATCTTTTCCATGAGCTGTTTTAAACCTGTTGGCTCAACACGTGTGTTTTGGACAGCCTATGGAGAAGGCTTGCAAAGCCTTCTAAGCCCGGGGAGAGATGACTTGGTTTAAGTTCTTCTAAATCCTTTTATTCAAGGATGGAAAAAGCTGCCCATGTGTTACTTGCAGGCAACAGGTATGCTTCAACTCATCTTTAAATCAGAATTACCATCTCTTACTGGGATGGGATGGGGGAGAGCACAAGGAAATAGCTTTGGGGGCCATCAGCAAGAGAGAAGAGAAACCCTCTGGGCATCCTCAGGAAATAGATATAAAAACTCTACCTGCCTTTACTGACAGGTGCTTTTGTTGACTTGAGGACTCAACATTATCTTTTGACTTTTTATCTCAACAGTCTGACATGGAGAGAAAATTGCATCCAAGTCTTCCTTTTAGCTGTAGGTTTTGCATTATTGTGCATATCTCCATTAGGTTGAGTTTCATGGATGTCCTGAATACTGTATTTATTATGTAAATTGAGATTTTTCTGAAAATACTGATAGCAATTCTATGGGTTCTCTCCCCCACAGCATTATCTATGTCTGCACTGTCACTTCTGTTTTTCTCACATGTTTCTGTCTGGTTTTTGCCTGTTTCTACCACTTTCTGGGCCTTGCTGCTAACTCTTATCCGTTTTTATGAGGAGTGCAAATTCCTGCTCAGAACAAGTCTGATAAAATCATTGCATCCTTTTTCTTTTCCTGTACCTACTATGGTGGAGGCATTATTCTGTACACATACACACATGTGAAGTAAAGGAAGGGGAAAAAACAAGTTGCCAAGTTTTCAACCTGTTTCTTATTTGTACTATGTGGTTTTCAATGCAGAGACAAGTAACAGTAATTTGTTGTTATTCCATTCACACCACTCAAGAAGGATGTCTCCCCTAGTATTGGTCCCTCAAAAAATCTGAGTTGTAACTCATCTGAGCTCTTTCCTCAATTTCCCTTCCTGGTTTTAGCTAAATCAGATTATTTTAAGTGTGTGGAGTGCAGCTTCATCTGACTACTTTATTTGTAGGTAAAATGTTCTCATTGTGACCGGAAAGGGCTTGTTTCTCTCTGTTAATATTTATAGAAAAATTTGATACAATATATGCTTAACTTTTTTAAGGAGGGCATCAGGAGCAAAGGGATGGTTTAAAGATAGAGAAATAAATGCAGAGTAGAAGAACGAAATTTCCCGAAACCTTATCTTCGGGTGGGGAAATTGGTATTCTGGATTAATTCCATTGTGGAGACTTCTGAAAGAAAAGTGGTTTTTTGGAATGGGGATATATAGAGCATTTGCAGAGTTGGTTATTCCAGAAAACTAAATCATATCCAAATAGCTGTGTCAGGTCATTTTCCCCTTACAAAAAGTCCTGTCTGGAGGCTGTGGTGGGGAAATGGGCTGGTTGTGGTAGGTGAGGGTTGCTGTGCCCTCTCTGCTGGCACAGACCCTGCAGATGCTCCCTGTGGAGCACAGTCAGGTGCTTTGTGGCTGCCACATCCCTGCTGGTACCTCTGGTGCTGCCCTGTGGGGTCTGTCAGGGCTCTGCGGCATGTGGAATGAGCAGGTGGCATCACTGCCAGGGAGGGAAGGGCACAGCCCAAGCTCATGGTTGTGACATGGAAAACCACCCAGGATTAACTGGGAATGGCTGTGGGCCCCTCTAGTGAGAAGGGGCTGGGGTTATGGAAGAAAGAAGGATCTGTAATAAATGAGGGAGTGCAGTGGGGAACCAAGTTCCTGTAGAGCGTTGTCTGAAAAGCAGCTTCTCCCAAAAGGCTGCTGTCAGCAGCCAGGGTTGTGTTGGAGAGGTTGGACTAACAAGGTAGGACTGGAGGGACTTCCCAGCATATCACATCAGCCTTTGTTAGCAGGGGCAGACATGTCTTGTGACCTCCATCATGAGTCTGTCAAGCTCCATCTCGAGCAGTATAAGCTTTTGCCTTTTCTAATCCCGCTGTGAGGTTCTTTTTTTCCTGGAATTCAAGGTAATTGCATTTAAAGCATGCAGTGATCTGTTTCCCAGGAGCTTGTGTGGAACGAGCGGGCAAGACCTCCAACGAATGAGTTCATGACAAACTGGTCAAGAAACTGGGAGCCTCCTGTGAAGTCCTTAGGCCTAAACACAGAGTGTAAAATCCCATGTGGCTCCCAAAAGAGCAGCAGCTGCAGCTTGGGTGTCTCTGCAGGGACTGTCTGTGTATAAAGAGGAGGGGTGGTGTGATGGAGAGCAGTGCTACTGAGGGAGGGCAGAGGAAGTGACTTCTTTGGAGAAAGCAGTGATCTGCCACTGAAGCACAGTATCAGTGCTTTTTCTCACCTTTTTCTGGCACTGTGGCAGGACACAGATGCTTGAAGTCCGAAGAATCAGAGTGTAACTCAGTAGATGCATGACAATAAAAGACAAAGTCAAAGTTGGATCATGACTCTGCCTGCCCTGATGGGAGCAGAGGACATGGCCTTGCTGGCATTTCATTTTTGGGGGACTAGAGTGACACTTTGTTTGTAACCCATTGCTCAGAAACACAGATGTTACCTAGATTTGACTTTTCCTTGCTGGAGTTCTTCAGCCTGCGAGTTCAAGAGCAATGCAGATGAATAGAAGTGCTGTTGCATTTTAGCACCAGGGGATTGGTTCTCAAATTTCCCTGTTGCATATCTCCTGCCCACAGCAGACTGACCTCTTTACTGGGTCTGACCAGCTCCAGCAAGCGTCCTTTTTTCTGAGTGACTAAAGCTGTCAGTCCGAGTTCTGCTGAACATCCAGAAGGTCTTTAGTTAAGGTGATTGAAAACTGGGGATGTCATGTGAGGCAACGACTCTGTGTTTAACTCTTGTGAAGCTGCCAAGTCCCTTAGCAGTGCTGATGGGCTCATTTGAACCATGGTTTTTATCTGGAAACTAGAAAGAGAGAGGATTATATGGGCTTTTGGCTTACTTCTGGAAAACCAGTGGCCTCTTTATTCCCTGCTAACAGTGCACTGGTATCACTGTACTTATGCCTAAAGGTATTATTCTTACAAGAATCTGTGAAGGGTCTTAACTTTATTAGAGGTTCTGTTTGTTTGGTAGGTAAGGATAGAAATTTTACTCTGTCTGAAGCCAGAGTATTGCTTTTAGCTATACCAGGAGCTATAGGGTGTGACTCAAGCACCTGTAGCACCATCATTCGATTTTTCTGCCTGCAAGCAGTTCTAAGTGAGCACTTACGGTGTTGTATCCAGGATCCAACATGTGTTTAGCCAGGGACAGATTGTTGCAGGTGTTCTGTTTGTCCTGCTGTTTTCTCCAAGCCACATTAGTGGCCCCTGTCCAGGATGGATGGCACTGGATGGGGCTTTGGTGTGACCCAGAGTGGCTCTTACAAGAAGAGTAGCTTTAGCCTTTTCTCATTCGTGGGATTGCAGTGATTTATACCAGAACTCAAACATGGATTTTTCTAGCTAACTTCACACATTTCTTGTGCCATTTCACAGGAATAAACTGACATTTGTCCGGACATAATACTGTTAAAAACAACCTTTATTTTTCTTGGAAGCAGAATCTTCTGTTTCTTAACTTGGTGGGGGTGGGGAAAAGCACATTATTCTGCATGTGCAGTACTAGATGCCTGTTTCAATCCAGTGACAGCACTGAAATGTCTGTAACAAAGTTAGAGCATATAATGTGCATGTGGCCTTTGTGTTGTGCAGTAACGTGGTGCTTCTTTTGCTTTTGTTTCCTGAATAGGGAAGAGGACAAGAACATTTTTGATTACTGCAGAGAAAACAACATTGACTATGTAACCAAAGCCATTCAATCAAAAAAAGTGGATGTGAATGTCACAGATGAAGAGGTATGGAGAAAAGATAAGGACCATCAATCTTTCATCTGTTTTGTGTGTTAATTCACTGCTACTCCTTTTTAGAATTCCATGGTTAGGATTTTTGTAACAAGGTGCTGCAACAGTTGAACAAACATTTGGTCATTGAGACAGGGTAACCTGTTTGGAAACAGCTTTCCACTGGATTTCTGGTAGTGTGGATGTAGCATAGAGATCAGAAGCTTAGTTTCTATGTTATTTTCAGCAGTACCAGCAGCTACTTGCAGTGTAAGATCTTCTGAATATCTCCCTTGCCCTACTTTGTACATTAAGTGTGGTCAAACAGAAGTAAGAAGTGAGGGAAACAGCTTTTTTGACTATGAAGTCGGTTAAGGTTGAAGGAGGATTTCTGTCATGCCACAAGCTTTTTATCATCCTCAGATGGATGGGAAATGAGTGACACTGGCTTCCCAAAAACAGTGGCATTGTCCAGTCTTTCTCTGCTCATCAAACTCAAAACACCATTTCCCTACAAGGAGGTAATACAGGCATTGCCAGAAACCCCAAGAGAAACCAGTCTAAAACTGAATTGATTCATCCTTTTTTTGGCAAGTGTAAACACGCGGTGGGTGCAGTTTCCTGTTGATCCTTCAGGAGTTGTGGGTGTACCAGGTTTGTCACCTTGTTTCCCTGCTTGCACACTGCCACCTAGCCCTGCCCCTGGTCCAGCCTGAGCACAGCTCCTTCCAGCACGTTGTGTTTTGGTGAACAGATGAAGTGCTTAGACATTCATAGACTGAGACGCCACAAATTCAGTTGGGTTCTCCTGTAGCTCTAAGCAGATTTCTGCCCTCTGAGCCATGACATCCCCGGCTGGGGCTCTGAATGCTGATGGCAGGGCCTTTTATTATTAATCAGGAATTCATGTGAATTAATTTTCAGAGGAGAGAAGGGAGGGGTGTTCACAATCAGGGCTGGAATTTCACATCATAAATCCAATGAACTGAAACCGTCATGTGCCACGCAGCCGCTGCACCAGTGCTGTTTCTGGGCTCCATCCTCCTTCTGCAGATCACAGGTTACAGAAGGAGATGTCCAAGGCAGCCCCACAAAAAATACAGCTGGAGTCTGTTGATTAATAAAAGCTCATTTTTAGGATCACATGCTTGCAATTAAGTGCATGTTAGCATTGCTTTGTTTCCACTGGCAAGGTGCACTTTGTATTTTCCTTTCCATTCAAGTAACAAATGTGCTTGTTTTCAGCCAAAGAAATACTGTTTAAAAAAAAAAAATCAAAATATTTTGTGGAAGCTTAAGTGTCCAAACTGTATAAAAAACTACCAGATTGTATCCTCTTTGGGAATTATCCATGATTCCCTGATGTAGAAGAAGTCTTATTTCTAACTGATGGATATTAGCAGATGGATGTTACAGAGTATGGGATTGCTTCAGCACAGGCAGGAGCCAAAAACATCTGCCTACCTGTGAAGGACTTGTGAGATGATTCCCACTGGGACAGAATTTTCGTATAGATGAAATTCTCCCAGCTTCAACAATTTTGGTTTACCTCAATAAATGCAAAAAAAATAGCATACCAAAAGGAAGAATCTGAAAGAAATAATTGTTTCATTTTATGTTATGGAACTGAAAGCATCACCAGTGTTGTTTGGTACTCAAACATGTTCTTCCCAGTGTGGGAGGTGACTTGTTTTCCAATATCATGCAGGTTGATTGAAGTTTTAGAACCTGTTTTAGACTAGAGATAACCCAGACTGAACCTTTTGTGAAGTGTATACAAGCATAATCTTGTCATTTTTATTGACTATTTTAGTGTTACTGTGTAAATACATCCTGCCAAATCCAAAAGCTGCCTCACCTGGCTTCTGGACATAATTCACACTATCAATCCTTTGATTTAAATGCCTATAAATTTAAAATGTCAGCAGGGTACATACAAAGAGTTAACTTCTTATGAAACAAAATCTACTGAAGCACCAAATAGGCTCGTGCTAAGCTGCAAAGACACTCAGCTCAGCCTTTCCTTGGACAATAAAGACTTGGCTGGAGTTGTAGGGTGTTTACATTTTATTTTTATGTGATATGGTAGTACTCCATCTAATTGTATCCCCCCGCCATTTTGTGCAAACCTGGAAGAAGTCAGTGAAAGGAGAAAGGAAATCAAGAATAAAAATGTAAAGTGGGGATGAGCCAACTTAGTCAAAGCAAAAGGATTTCAGAAAGGGCAGCAGAAGATTCTGGGGTTTAGATAGTTGCACTGGGAAACTTCCAAAGCATAAGTGGCCTTCTCCCCACAAGAAATAAAGCTCTTCATGTGCAACATGCAAGCCAGCATACCTGCTAACAGTTTGGATATGATAAACTTCAATTTAGAATTAAACAAAGAACCTAATGACAGTAATCATGTACAAGCTTCCATTTACTGTGTCTAAATTGCCCAGAGTTCAGCAGAATTGCATTCACTTATAAGAAGTAGCACAGACTAAAGCAACCTGTTTTCCTTGTGTATGTCAGCAGGACTAATGGAATAAGAAATGGACTGTGGCTGTGAAGTCACCCCAGGCACATCCTGGGAGTGTGGCTCACTTGCTGCCTGTTTGAAAATAGTATTTCTTCAACTTGGAACAAACCAGGAGCCGCTCGAAGGCAGAGATGAGTTGCTTTTGTGATTTGTGCCAAGGGCTGTGGAGGTTGTAGCTAGATAATATTTTTTTAATTGTTGGATAAATCCCAGTAAACAAACATGTTACCTGTGTGCAGTGTTTAAGCCTTTGCCAAAACTTTAATGAAAGGCATCTGACAGGATGCTCATTTAGACCCCGATCCTTGTGCTTTTGAGACAGCAAGAGCCAAACCGGTGCCAGCTTGCCAAGAAAAGGACAGGGGGGGAAAATGGATTTGAAGAAGGGTCACTGACTTCTGGATTTATAGGCCTTCTCCCATTAGGAAAGCTTCACCAAACGTTTCAGAGCTCTGAAAGTGATTGACTTCCAAGTCAAATTTACCTGTGTAATTGTAACAACAACCCTTCCATTCACTGTTTCCGCTGTCACAGGGGGATGCAGCCATTCTGTAGATATCTGTCTTTTCTTAATTACTGCTCATAGAACACTTGCCACAAGTTAGAGTGGCTCATTGCTATCCAGCCATTACAGCTGCAAACATCGTGCCTGGAAGTGCAGCTTTATACTGTATCACATCCATTCGGTTTGGCTTTGTTCTCCCCTTTCTCTGCTCGAGCTAATTGATGTGAAAATCATTCCCATCCATTTGTCTGCCAGCTCAGTGTATGGGAGACAAATCCCTGTCCTGTGCTTTGTTTGTGAACACCCTGTGACTTGGAGCTGAGCAAAATTGATGTGCTGTTGGCTTGAGAAGCTGCTGCAGGAGCTGGCCAAGCTGGCAGCGGTTAGCCAAGCAAAGCACAGAAGATTTAAGAGGCAGGGTTAGTGCACTGGGGCTATTTTTATGCTTTTTTTTTATTATTAAATACTTCAAAGGTGGGGGGGGAATGCATCCTCTCAAGTAACTTCTGCAACAACTGTTGTGTTTGAATTGCAGGGAGGGAATACCTTGATGTTTGACTGCATCTAGCCAAACCTCACTGGTGCAGCGCTTTCCTACGTGAAATTATTCATGTTGCTTTGAGTCTCTCTCACTGCTTAATGAAATAGTCACGTGGGAATTGTTTTGGGAAAGCTCAATCTGTGGCCCCTAAGATTTCTGCCACGTTATTTAAACACACAAACACATGCTATATGCTGATACAAAGCAGCAGCTGTGCAGACTAAAGAGTTTTTCAGCGTGCAGAGGTGATATCCCCTCTATAAAGACTGTGACTGTACGTTCAGTTTAAGCTTGTCTTATCACTAAGGTTTACTTTAAGAAAGACATGGGAAACAAGTGGATTTTGTAGCTGTATAGCTGCCTGAGTATGTTAGCTAGAAGTGTTGACCATTGTTAACTTGCCTGATGCTCTACAAGTAGTTTTAAATATTTCCAAAGAGCCATTAAGGTTGAAAAAGACCTCTAAGATCATCAAGTCCAACCATTTTAAATACCAAATTCGTAGCAATGCTTTTTGTTATGCAATAAGTAGGTTGAGATTCTTCTGGAGGTATTTTTTCTTCCCCATCTCCTGGTGTGCTCTTGCACAGAAGGTCTCCAAAGCCCCTTACACCCCATGTCAAGGGTGTAGCATGCTGCAGATATTTCTTGGGTGGAACATGTCAGCTGTTTAATAGTGCACAATTACAATGCAGAGCCATTTAAGGCACTAATTAGAAAATATTGTATCCATTTAGAGTTGCAGAGAGAATATATAGGTAAGCAGAGTGTAATTACCCAAAGTGGAATTGGCCCAAGACTTGAAATCCATACTCCTGCAAATAGCACAAGGAGATTTTTAATGACTATAGATGATCAAGCTTCAGGGTTTTGTCTTGTTCAAAAGGCACCATGTGTAGCAGAACCAGCCTGCCAGTGTCATGGGCTGGACCAGTTGCACAGTGCTCTGGTACTCCTGGGTACTCCTGGTACTCCTAACTCACAATTGTGAGACTGTTGTTTTTCCTTTATTGGTCTCAGGCAAGTTCAGCGCCAATAAAATAAGATTCTCCTTGTCCAGAGACAAATGCAAACCAACATATTTTAGCCACTAATCTGTAGCATGAGTTTTGATACAAAGGATAGAAGTGACTTTATTTTATCATGTAATTGTGCAATAAATACATTGAATAATTGCAATATTATTCCTCTACCCATATATCAAGACCCTGTAATCATCTGTTGAAGTATTCATTGCTATTGTGTATATTGCAGATGTGCCCCTTCCTTTTGAGATAAACATCTGTGGCTTGAAAAAAGTTGGTATTTGTCCAACTGAAATACTAAGTAATTACCAGTGCAGAGATAAATTAACGATGCTAAACATGAATTAAAGATCTCTCCATATTTACCAATTGTTTTAAGTTGTACTCTTTCCCCCTTGTAGACTTTGCTAGGGGTGCTGAGTGCAAGAATATGAATCATTAAATGGCTTGTGCATGTCATCAGTGCTTCCATAGAAAGTCACTGTCAGAAAATTCATTCTAATGCAAGGTTAATTAGTGTAACATTAAAATTGCATGTTAAAAAATTAATTAGTCTCTGGGTCAAAAAGTGTGAATTTCCTGACTTAAAATCATGCTCTACCTCTGCTGCCCTGCCCAGGAATATCCAGCAGAAGCAGTGTGAGCTTTGGTCACAGGTGTCTTCTGCCCCTCCTGCTTCCTGGCACCGTGGCCAGGAAATTTGGCTCACAGTTCCCATTAGCAGATAAATGAGTTACTCACCTTGTTCCCCACTGCTTTGTCAAGAGATTTATAACCAGGCATGGGCTAATTTAAATGATTTCTTCTCTGAGGGTCTGTGACTGTTTTCTGTGGCATATTGAAAAACACAGGTTAGTCTTATGGTGTCACAGCTTGAGGGAGGTGATTCCTGCTCATCTGCAGGGTGATTTCCAAGAAATCCCCTACAAGTGTGCTGTGTGCTGTCCTAAACCAGGAGAGACTAATAGAACATTAAGGCTAATTTACTAAGTGTACATAGAAGGTTTTCTTTCTTTGTTTGCTATCTCAAATCACTTTGAGTTACCTTTCTCATGGATCCTAAACTACTTCTCATGCCCTTGGACGTGCAGGAAGATCTGAACTTTGATTACATCCCACCCCATGGTGGCAGACACCTGTAGAAAGGGGATGGGAAGAAAACTGTGGAGGTTTGGGAGTTATGGATGCAGCAGCCTGCCCAAGAGAGGACAGCGAGGGGTGCCTGCCCAGACACCCAGTTTTAGTCTTTTCTTCCAGCAGAGACAGGTTGAGTGTTTCAAACTTGCCAGAGGAACGAGCTTTTGGGGACTTGGCATCCAGGTGACTTAGGCAGCACTGAATATCCTACCTTTGCTGTGTAATTCATTGCTCCCAGAAAAGTCAGAGGTGCCAAAATCCTAAATCTATATAGGAAAACAAATAATGTGCTGGCTCCTGTGTTTCATACATTGCTGCTTTTCCCCTCTAAATTTTTTGCTGGCTTGTGGGTGTGGTGCTAAATTAATAAAAAATTGAACTATGTGTTGATTTTGACATTTTTAGCATTATTGTATAAGTCCAAATCACCAGTAAGTGGCATACTAATATTATTTTTTTAATTTTTTTTTTTTAAAGTCTGTGTTAATTTTGATATAGATGCTTATTACTTAATAGCAAGACTGATTTTCCATGGGCTTTTTTTTTTGCTTGGCTTTGTTGATTTTCTCCTGGCTGTTTCAGGGCCGGGCTCTGCTCCACTGGGCGTGTGACAGAGGACACAAGGAGCTGGTTTCAGTTCTGTTGCAGAACGCTGCCGACGTGAACATCCAGGTAAGAGGGAACACAGAGGCAAATTGATGTGCTACACAGCCCCCTGACCAAATGTTTCCATGAAACTTCCTCCAAAACTCCACAGCGAGTTCTCTCAGGGTATTTATCACAGAAAAGCTGCTCCATTCTGGTGAGACCTCATCTGCAGTGCTGCATCCAGCTCTGGGAAGGAAGGAAGGACATGGACCTGTTGGAGCAAGTCCAGAGGAGGCTACAAAGTTGATTAGAGGGATGGAGCACCTCTCCTATGAGGCTGAGAGAACTGGGATTGTTCAGCTTGGAAAAGAGAAAGCTTCAGGGTGACCTAATTACAGCCTTCTAGAACCTACCAGATAGATGGAGTGAGACTGTTTACAAGATCACATGGTGACAGGACAAGGGGGAATGACTTAAACTGAAAGAGAGTAGGTTTAGATTAGATATTAGGAAAAAAAAATTCTTCCCTGTGAGGTTGGTGAGGCCCTGGCACAGGTTGCCCAGAGAAGCTGTGGCTGCCTCATCCCTGGAAGTGTTCAAAGCCAGGTTGGACAGGGCTTGGAGGAACCTGATCTAGTGGAAGGTGTTGCTGCCCATAGCAGGGGTTTGGAACTAGATGATCTTTAATATCCTTTTCAACCCAAGCCATTCTGGGATTCCCTTATAAGAATATCCAAAAAAGGTAACCTGGGAAAAATAAAAATAATTTTGAGCCACTGAGTTTTGCAGCCCAGATGTCTGAGCTTAGCTAGCACCAGATTTAGGTATCTAAATAGACCAGGTTTTGACCTAAACTGGTTCAGCAACCACTTTGCAAATGGTTTCTTCCAGCCAACCAGCCTGGGTCTGCCAGTGCTCCTGAGCCAACAATCCCAGTTTTGTCAGCTTGTTGTAATTAAGGGCTGACCTGTATAAATGTGATCATATTCAGAAATAATTGTCCAACACATTTCTGTCAGATTATGATTGCCTGCTCTTTACCATCATGGCACGTTTTGGCTCTGCTCTCCTTCCCAGTTTGGACATAGATACACCTTTGCTGATGAATCTTTGAGCTCTTATTGATGAGATCTTCAATAAATGCTTCAGGAATTTGTAAGAGGTGGATGTGAAGCAGAGCTGCAGTCTGAAGGCTTGTGGGCAGAGCTGTAATGTTCACAGGCTACAGAAAGCTGTGTTGGTATTTACACAAATTGTTGTAAAAAAGTCTGTCTTGCCCTTTTCTGGGCAGAATTTCTGGTGGGATGGGTATGAGGAAGAACAGCTCTGCAGTGGCTGGTGAGATGTGTGTGTTTGTGCTTAGGTGTTTTAATGGATTTAATAGGAGTTCTTCCTTACCCAGAAGAGGGGTAGAGTGAAGCCAGTGCAAATGGGGGGCTTTGCACATCCTGTCCATCTCCTTTCAGTCAGAGCTAGTGAATGGTGTGTTGGATACAGACAGAACAGCTTTGCACTCAAATTGGGAAGGAGTGGAATCAGGCACATGCCCATTCCCTTCACCCTGGCAGCCTGGGAGATGGTTCTGGGTTCTCTCTGAAACATTTCTTCTCTTTGACACTTGTCTCGTTCTTTTGAGATAAAGTCTGACTCTTAGAAGAAAAAGCAGAAGAGAGAATTATTGTATTTTTTTTTTCCCTGAGTATTAATTTTCTGTTAAATTCTTCGCTTTTCTTTTTGATGCATTGCACATTTTCTAACCAGATTATTTTTGGCCAGTAACAAAAGGTTAATAATAGCCATAAAAAGAAAAATCAATCTTTGATATGTTTTTCCCCACCAAGGTAATAAAGGAGAATTTTTTATAAAGGTCTCTGTTTGCACGTAGGTGTGTTCCCAGAGAGAGCAGACACATTTTTATTCTCAGCCATATATAAATTGCAATAACATTCCAAGACTTTGTGACTTTTTTTTTTTTTTTTTTTTTTAAATTTTGGCCTTTACCCGGAAAGAATTCACATCCAAAACAGGATAAATTTTAAGAGAAACCAGAAGAAAAAGGGAGAGGGAAAAACTCTGGCTTCCTAACAGGCCATAAACACCACAGCACCTGCTATAACACATTACCAAAGGCACTATCAGTTAATGTGTAGGCTGTAAAGAACAGTGGCTTCAGTGTGAGGGGATATCTGGTGATGGGTGATGCTCTTTTTCCAGAGTGATGTGCTCCCAGCATGTGTTTCCTTCACACCTCTGTCCAAGCAGCCTCCACAATCCCACCTCTCCAGGTCTTCAGGAATTCTTCTGTCTTGTTTAATTTTGCAGCAGCACCTTCATGCAGGTTAGCGTGAGAGATAAAGAATAAATTAGGGATTACGAGGGTCATGAGCTGATAGTGAAGGAGAGGAATGTTACAGACCACTTTTTTTTTAATTGCCTATGTTTTAGTATGCTTCTAAATAGTTAGTCAAACAGCATGACAGATTTATTCTCTTTTCCATTACCTTTTTAATAAATGATCTTCCATCTTGGCTCTTTTGCAGTGTGCTAAGGGATTTAGCTGCCCTAAGCAGGCAGTGACAGTGGTGCTCTCCTGGGTGACCTGCAGCAAGTCTTACCTGTTCACTGTGCCTGTAGATGCCTTTTTCCTGCCTTATTTTAGTTTTATACCTTTATATTATCTATTGTCAAAGTACTGCAGTCTCTCAATCAAGAGGATCTGCAAGAGTCAGTTTATTGCTCTTTGTTGATAAACAGCTTTGGGAGCAGGAGGAGAGGTCTCCTGGCTCTGCTCATTCTTGTAGCATGCTCAAACCCACTTTAATTCTGGGAATAACCCCATACCCCTGGACTGCAGTGGTCCAGTGCCTGTGCTTTTTGTTTCAGCAGTGGTGCTGCAGTTTCCACGGGGTGGTTTGCTAATGTCACTGAAAAGCTGCAGCCACTGAATTCTTTGCTTGCTCATAATTAGCTCTAATAGCACATTTGAAAAGAGGTGGTAAAGCAATTGCCATGGGCGAGGGGATACAGAAAGGCAACAGGCTGCTCTTCTTTGTTGAGAAGGGGCATTTGTGTAATGGAATTACCTAAATCTCCAGTGCCAGGGGCCATGTCAAAGTGGGTGGTGGGATGGTGTTTTGGAGCTCTGCTGGAAAAACCCAGAGCTTGGGACTCAGTCTGAGAGCAACTTCCTTCACTGGAACTGTTTGCCTAAACCAGCAACATAACAGTAACATGATGTAAAGGTAAAAGGTTTTAAGCATAACTCAGTGGTAATATAAGATATCCATTAATATCCGTTTCCAGCTTTAAAACATAAGAAGATATGAATTTTCCTTGCAGAGGATGAGCAACAAAGGAAAACCCCTTTCCTCTATGGGGAGAGTAGCACCTGGATGTGAGGTGCTGCTCAAGCAGCTTTCAGAGGAGCTCCTTTAGTGTATTTGGGGGACATAAACCATAGACTTTCCTCCTGGACTTCCTGTGGCTGCATTTTGTTTTGTTTGTGGGTACTCCATACTTCAAAATAATAATCCATGTGTTCATGTCATGCCCTTGGGAGTGTATGGGGAACTATCTGGGAGTGGTGCTAAGCAGCTCCACTTACTGTGGTAAAGCTTTTCAGGCCTATCTGGCCATGTGAGCAAGTCTTAACATTAATATTGTGAGTTATAAAGGGAACTGGATCATTAGACACACAGGATAATTAAGGGCTGTGTACATATCTGTGAGCAGCTGAATTTAAACCATATCTAAGTATTTTATGATTTTTAAACTGCATCATTATGCAATTTTCAATGTTATGGTAATAACTTTCTGTGCTGAAATTTTTCTGTAATGACTAAAAGGATGAAAAAAGCTATAACTGATGTTCAGTTTTTATTTCTTGACTTTTCACTTTCCTGGTAAAGTGCAGATCAGTGCACTAAGACTTTAAACCACTGGTCAGCAAGTTCTCAATAGTCACTTGTGGACCCTTCAGGTGTTTGAGAAGGAAACTTGAGACCAAAGCTGAAAATCATCAGGTTAAGAAGTCTGTTGCTAGTATGTGGGATTTATTTTATTCATTTCTGTATAGTAGTAATTGTGGTGAGAAGCATCTGGTGTCTGTGCTGTCTGCAGAGAGCATTGGTTGATTTTTGGTACCAGTGTTGGATTTGTATCTTGTACTGATTCATGCAAGGCTGCTCAGTCATATTTATGAACTGAGATGATGCTTGTCAGCATGTTTTGAGTTAGATTGGGGTTTTTATTCTTTTTTTTTTCTCTTCTAAATCACTTAGGGTAACAGGAAGAGCATGGTTGCTTCCCCAGGCTTTTTCCAAGTTCCCAACTTCCCTCCTCTGTTTGTATCCTAACACTGGTGATCAGAGTGTTCCTGGACACATGGAGCAGCCATCCCCTTGTGATACCTTCCCTGACTGGGTATAAAAAAAAAAAAAAGGAAAAAAACCTTTTCAAATGAAGACAATACAAACATAATAAATGGCAGGGAGGGTTCATCTCCTTCATGACTCAATCCTTTTCAAACAACATTATTATTGACTGACCTATTGGTTGCCAAAAAGGAAAATCAATTGTACTAGAAGTAGTTGCTGGGCCACAGATCACAGTACTAACCCAGCAGAGACAGGTTGATTTTTATCAACTATCCAAAGAGTAATTTCCATCATTAGCTAAAAATGAAGTAGAAATTATGGATATGTCGAAGATTGCTAAGATTGGTGGTCTCTTAGTTTTGTGTGTTTGTGTGGGTTTTCTGTTTTCCTGCCTGACTCTTAAAAGGTTTGTGTCTGTAGAGGATAAAAAGAAGCAAGGAGTAGTCAGGCCTGCTTGCATGGCTGACTTTTTTTCTTTTCAGTCTTCTTAATTTGGATTTCACAGCAAGGGTCTTGTGTTGGAGGCATGTAGATATTTAAAAATTAAGCTGGTCTCAGCAAATGTGCATCCCTTCCTTGCCTCCTGCACTAAACATTAGTCATGCCTTCATGATCCTGTGCCTGTAGGGAGATGGAGAAATTGATGTGGATGTTTTGACTGTTGTGACCAAGGACCACATGCTCCATCTACACATTTTCCCCCTCCCCAGTGGGATGGGAGATGCAAACACACTTGTGGGTAGGCTGCCAGCTGCCAAAGTCCTCTGCTGTTATGAGCATTCTCTAAACCTGGCTGAGATTAAATAGGAACATGACAGCCTCATGGCCTTGCAGTTAATGTCCCTAGGATCAATTTCTCCCTAAATATACTAAAAGCCTGACTCAGAAAGCTGGGAGGGGCCCTGTCCTGGACCTGATACTGCAGCAGAAGCTTTGGCATGGGTACACTCACAACAACCAAAGGATGTCACAGGCAATGCTGAATTGATCACTGTGGGAGGGAGCTACAGTGGCAAACACATGGGGGACACTAAACAGAGATGAAAAGCAAAGCAATGAGAGCAGATTTATTAACCACAGTAGTGTTCTTCTTCCCTAACCACCCCCCATCCCTGTCTCAGTATTTCCATGGTCAGTTTTGTCAAGCAGATCTCTGAAGACTCTGCAGCCTTGTACCCCTTCAGTCTTGAGAGTGCTGCCAGTGGGTGTGAGAGCCATTAGCCAAAAGAAAGGAGAGATCTGCTTAGTGACAGAGGGTAGCATTCTACATTAGAGCATTGACATGGTGCCAGTCACAGTTATTACAAGTGGCACAGCTCCACGTCTCTCCTGCGGGTCTCTCTGTGGAATGTAGGTTGGCAGCAGGTTGAATGTTAAATGGTCACCACTCAGCAGATGCTGTTTTTACCTACTGGGAGAAAAGTCCCTTTCAGCAGAAACATTTGCAAAATATTTGCACACTAAATATACGCTGGGAAAGGCAGAGATTTATCCCTGGTTTGCTCCTTAGCTTCTCAAGCCACCTCAGGCCTCACCAACACTAGCCATCAGTTGTACAGACGATGTTTCCTTCTGCTTGTCCAGGCTGGGCTTTTTAGCATTGTTTCTTCCTATCTTCCAGCTTGACATGTCCATTCTTTGTTTCTTCTGCTCCCTGTAGACAGATGAATCATTGCTTCATGGCTGATGCAGCACAAGCAGTTGGCATCCTTGCACAGGCAGCCCATGTGCAGCACTGCCTGCAAAGCAGCTCACCAGCCAGGAACTGCTGCAGGCTCCTGTGTCCTGCAAAACCAGCGTTTGAAAAGTGAAATCCAAGAGCTGGTCCTGAAGAAACTCACAGTGATCTCTGCTGCTTTGCCCTCAAAGTCTAAAGCTGCTTTTGGGGTAATCAAAAGGCAGGGTTTAAAAAGCCAGGACCAGGGACAGTGGCACCTTTTAGTGGCTTGTGGGCATCACCTTCTACCAGGGGCTGTGCTGTGCAGAGGGAGGCACTTCCCATGGCCTGTGCTGGGGCAGGAATGCAGTCTGGCAGAGGGCACATAGTTTTAGCTCAGGGAGCCCTGTGCTTGATTCCATGCCTGACAGCACAGCTCTTTTGTGGTACACTCCCTGTTTATGCTCACAGGAGACAGAAGCCAGCAGCAGCAGCGAGCTTTGAGGTCAGTGCAGGTGGCACCATGGAGGAGAAACAAGTTATCTTGCTCCCCACTGTCTTCATGTGTCCCTGTAGAGGCAGGAAAGAGCCTTACCTTGAATGCCTCCCTGCAAGGACATGGGATGGCCCCATGGCCCTTGGTCCCAGGGTCATCTTTGAAATCAGCATGTGTTAAAACACCTGTAATTCCTGAGGTCATTGTTGGAAATGCTTTAGCCCCTCATTAAGGTGTTTGGTTAACTGCACAAACAGGATACCACTGGCAGCCAAGCTGGTTCTTCAGGTGAACACATCACCCTAGAAATGGTCTCTAATCACCCGAGGAATGGTCTCTAATCACCCTAGGAATGGTCTCTAATCACTCTAGGAATGGTCTCCAGCCTTGCTTCATTTCCTATGGCTTTGGCTTCACCTGTCCCTGCCTGAGGAACCACCAAGCCATCAGCTACTCTTTGCTCAGGAGAGATTGCTCTTTGCTCAGCCTCTTGGAAAAGCTTTCCCTGTTTTGAAGAAGTTCTGCCACTCACCTTCTCCCTGAGGACTCCTCAATTTGAAAAAAGCCTCAAGGCTTTACTTTCAAATGGAATTTTGTATTCATCTGTTGTCAGCAGTTGTTTCTTCCAGTTTGTTCTAGAAACCAAAACCAAACAAACCCATACAGAACAAGAAAACAACAAAAAACCCTCCAGTTCTAGGTAAATCACTGGGGCATCTCAAATTTGAAGTCTTCAGTACGAAGTTATTTGTTAAGTTTTGCTAAATAAGATTGTTCTAATACTTTAGACGCTGGAGCAGTAACTCTTGAAGCTTATTTTGGTTAGATGTTAAGATTTTTCAAGATTATAGCTCCATGGATTGTAAGTGGCAGAGCAGCACTGAAAATGGCAAAGCTAATTTATTAAGTTCCCATTTCTCAACTGGTACATGTTACTTTTGCATCCATGAGGACAGTGTTGGTGCAGGAGACTTTCTAGCTCAGAATCATATCTCCAGTGACAGGGAAGAGTGAATGCTGAGGAGACAGAGTAGGGTAAGCATACAGTGATAATTTCATATATTTTCCCACAATCCATGGCTTGTAGGCTTCCTGAACCACTGTTACTATCTTTGCACTTGTGGATTTTTCTTTGATGAATTTCTTTAATCTCTCTTTGGATTTCCTAACTTTATGCTAGTGGGAGTCCTGTAGTTTAACTGTGCATTTGCTTTGCACTTGCCATGATCATTTCATGAGAGCCCTTTCTTGTGTAATGAGAAACATTAATTGTTCCCCCAGTTACCTCCTCTGTCCTGCTTTTGACTTTATTGGCCTCCTTGATTCCCCTTGATCACTTCTTTTTCAGACTGAGGAGTTTTACCTGTTTAATCCTACCCCATTTGGGAGCAGCTCAGTAACTTTGCCACTTGTCATTCTTTGGGTCATTTCTAGTTCTTCCTTATTGCTCTCAGATGAAGAGAGCAGCACTTCTCCCAGCACCCAAGCTGTAAGTGCAATATCAGATATAATGAAGCAATGTAGTGATGTGTTTTCTTAATTCCCTTTTTTCCTCCAATGCCTCCTTGTTGTTTGTTTTTTAACTACCTTAAATACTGAGCTGGTGTTATAGAGCTGTCTGTAATAACTCATAATCTTTCTACACAGTGCTAGTAATAGCTAGCTCAGAGCCCCTTGCTCTGGATTTAGCCTGAAGATTGTTTTTCCACATGTGCATTACTTGGTGTTTATTAGAGCTGAATTTCATCTGCAGGCTTTTCACCCTGTCACCTTGAGATCCTTTTGTAGCATTTTACAGGCAGCTTTTGGTTTAAAGGACTTGGATGATTCACCCCCAGCCTGCTTCCCCTGTTCCCTTCTGTGGGCTGAAGAACCCAGGCCTTTACACAGATCCCTCAGAGGCTCCAGCTCTCAGCAACAATTGTGCAAGCTGGTTGTTTACTCCTAATCAATTTCTAATTTTGTAATCAGTTCTCAAGCAATGGCCTTCCCTCTTGCTCTATGACAGCATCATTTAATAGTCTTTGGTGAGAGGGTGTGTCCAAAGGCTTTTGGAAATCCATGTGATCAGGCATTCCCACTTGTGTGGGTGTTGTGGTTTTAAAGTATTAGCTAAAGAAATTACTAGAAAACTTCTTTATTTTTTGTTGTGAGATTTGGATTAGAACAAGAGCAAAACAGGTTTAAAACTTAAAAGGAACAAAGAAAGTTTATTAACAACAACTATAAGAATAAGAAACCAGAATAAAACTTATAGAAACCTTTTTTTCTTCACTACTTGACCATTCTTTTGTTTACATGACAACACAGAGACAAAAAACTTGGTGGTTAAAATAGTCTCAATTTTGCTATAGTCTTTTTACCAGTTTTGTAGAGCAAAAAAAGGGTTTTTTTGCTAATTTATGGAGTTTTTCACAAGAAAACTATTTTCTTCATGGCTTTTTATTTCTTTGATGTCAGCTGCTTGGAAATTCTGTTATCAGTTTTTTTCTTCCCATTTCACATTACTCTGAGGTGTGTTATGGGTTAATGAGTTAAGATGGGGTGTCATTTTTTAAATTAGCAAATCTAAACTACAGTGGGATAGCAGAAGTCTTGGTGGGTAGCAAAGGCTGGTGCCATCCTCTCCCTGCCTGTCACAGAAAAACTACTCAGTTGCTTCCTTTTGTAGCAAAACAAGTAAATCTTATCTTGGAGAAATCTAGTTTATCTAACACACTAATGGACTGTGCCACCTTAGACATTCCATGTTGCAATGAGTCTTCCCTTGTATTTTAACAATGCTCAGCTAGGCTGGAATAGAAGTTTGTTATAAAACAAAGGCCTGAACATCCACAAAGGTGTGTTGAAGCTGTCTGTGGTGTTCATCCTGAGGTTAGGAGGTGCCTGTCTACAGCTGGGTACAGCATTTGAAGAACTGTTGAACTTCCATCATCTAAATCCGTTTCTGCCGTTCCAGCCAATTAAACATTAAAATGAGCGTGACAAATAAGTGTTTGTTTATGGGTCAGTAACTCTGGAGTATGGCAGTGACATGGCTGCTCGAGACAATCCATTTCAGTGCAGGCCTGGGCAGCCCAACATCCTCAGCTGTGTAATTGCTTTTATAGGGAAAGGGAAGTAATAAGGATAATGCAGCTATCAGGCCCCGACTCACTAGTTCAGAAACTTCCCCTTGCCAATCAAATTCCTTTGGTATTCAACCAGTTTTAGGCTTGTTCCAAAGGCATTATTGTGCTGTCAGAAAATATCCTGATGGATATATGCATTCTCTCCAGTGCTGGATGTTACCTTCTTGGTTTTGTCCACCAGCCAACCCTCAGTGCACACTTTATGGCAACAGACAGGCATGTCTTGTCCCTCTCCCTCCCTTCCCCCTCCCCTATTATATATTTTTTTTTTCAGCACTATTAGATTATTAAATGCTTAATGACTATTCCATTCCTGCTAACTATACTTTTGATGAGCCGCAGTAATAAAACTTTGTAACAGCGAAGCGTGTGTCTGGTTCCTTTATAGGAAGGGCACATTTGGGGAGCTGAAGTAATGGGGGATAAAACTCAATTAATGAATAGAAATAAAAAGAAGTAAATGAGGTAATCAAACTCAGAGAAATTAGTATTGGCAGGTCCTGAATGATGCTCTTGGATGAACAATCTTTCAAAATCCTTCCTTGTATGCCGCTGCTGTCTCTTTATTTATTATTAAAATAACATGATCCATGAGGCGCTCGGGGTGACTCCCAGCCTAGCTAATTCTAATTAATCCAGTCAGGGAGAGCAGCAGGGTAAGTGGAGCAGTCTATCGGATTGAAATTCATAACTTAATTGAGGTCAAAGTCCTGGGTTGGGAGAACAAAAGTCTTTCACTGGGACCAGGCAGATCAATAGCAATAAATATCTGGCTTGGATGCAAGTAGCTTACAGTGACGGATTATCTGACACTGGCCAGAGGTCTTGGTCTTGTTCAGGGCAAAGTCCTGTGGTATGTACAGCAGAGGGTGACTTTTGCCAGTGTTCCCTCCAAAACCCCAAACAACTCTTGAAGGACTCACGGGACCCTCAGGAGAAGGATGTCCATACAGAAGTCCACATGAGTCATGCTGAAATTTGGTTTCTCAAGGTACAGGTGTCTCATCAGTAGCTCAAGGGCAAGTGTCACATTAGTGCTGATGGAGGCTGGAAGAAGTTGCTCAGACTTACAGGAACTTGGAGCTAAATCACAAGCTTGTCCAGAAAAAGACCTTTAGGATAAGGGGAAGCTGAACCATGGATGGATGGGCTTTAAGCCAAGTCTGTATTTATAGCCATAGGAGGAGAGAGGAAAGTTGGAAGTGTAAATAATCATTAAGGTGGGTTTGTAGTGTGAGAGAAAACAGCAGAGGCAGATGTGGTGCTGCCTGTTCTTCAGAAAAGCATCCAGTATCTACTGTGACCTCCAAAATGTTCTGTTCCAAGGGGTTTGCATGTGCTAAGGATGGCTGGTTTCCCAAACCCTTGCCCAAGTAAGTTTGGGTGTTGCCTGAACTCCTAAACCAGAGAGGAAGCCCAAGGTCCTGGCCTGGGATCTGTGGCCTTGCACTGTGCACACAGCTTTCCCTGGGAGTGGGCACTGAAATCCTCATCAATACCAGCAACTGAAGAAGTTTCTCTGAACTTTGAAACGAGCAGGGTCCTTCAGCTGGAGCTCAGAATTAAAATGCAATCTTCCCCTAGGCCATTATTAATGCGAGGTTTATGCAGATTGGACCGCTCTGCTCGTATCCTCTTTGCAGAGGACAAATACTGCTGTGGTCAGCACTCGATACATCCCAGATGGATGTTGTTCTGCCAATGCACTTCAACACAGCTTGGAAGAGAGATGGAAACCGCAGCTTGGACGCAGCCAGGGGCTTCGTTTGACACACCTGCTCCTCCCATTAACACTGCATGAGTCTAAAGCATCTGCTCTTGTCCAGCTTGCCAGAAATGTTCAGAAGATCTCTTTGGCTCCACAGGTCAGGTTTCCATGTGTAGGACAAAAGCCTTGCCTGGTCAGGTGTCAGGTTTTACTGTGATGAGCAACTGTTGGGTTTTTTGGGTGTATAAATGGTACTTCTCTACCTTCACACCCTATTGAAACTGTCTCTGGGAAACACCTCTTGTTTTCCACTGCAGAACATTTGCTTTGTGTAGACAGAATGCAGTGAACAAGGCAGCTCTTCAGTACAAACACACACATATATATAATTTATATATATATATATATATAATTATTTTATATATATATTAATATTATTTTTTACTATATACTACTGTTATCACCTAATACTTGCTGTTCTACTACTTTACTCATTTGTGTCCCATCCATGGCACAACCTCCTCCCTCTAAGCTGGTGGTTTCACTCTCCAGATT